TGGATGCCTCTTTATTCTGTCTGTCGTTTGATTAATCTTTGGATTTAACTTCTTATCTTTATTACGTAACTCCTGTACCATTGTATGCATAGATTGATTTTTTGTTTAAATTTGAACCCTCTGTCAACTAACATCATGTGAAAATTACAAGTATCTTCTTTCTCTTTTTCTGTTTTCTTTCTTCTTACATGACTTGCTCCATTCTGACGAAGCCAATTTTGTTAAGTATGCCGATGATGCATCTGACTGTTTCTGTCGCCTGCTGCTTCTCAGTCAGACTGTTCCAAAAGGAATAACTTCTCATCAGAAATTAGTTAGTGGTCTTCATCAAATGGTCTTAAGCTTAATCTCTCCAAATGCCAGATCGTTAATTTCAAGTTCAGACGCAAGCGCGACTTATGTGAACTGGTTAGTTCACACGGTTCCACTATCACAGATGGCACTGAAGTTGAAACTAAACTGAATATTAAGTACCTTGAATTGCGTATTTCCTCAGATCACTTTCGTGGTCTTCCCACATCATGTTGGTTTTCAGAAAAAAAATTTCGTTTGACGTTCTATGTAAAGAAGTTGGGACGATCTGGTATCATTTCGTTTCTACTGTTACCGTTTGTTAATTCTTTTATTCTACCTGTTCTTCTTGATCTCTCCTCGTCACTTAATATTTTCTGGGCTACCTACCTAAGCTTGTCAGTTCTTGTATTCTGCCCAAACTTCTTTAATATTTCTTTTTACTCTTTCCAGGGATGCTGGCTGGATTCAACATAGACCTTGGCACCGAAGTGCAGCAGTTCGAGTTGCCACGTTCCAAAGAGCACACAAAGGTAGACAAAAAAAATGAGTGAAGAGTTTTGACAGGTATAGGAGTGAAACAGAATGAGTAATGGTAGAAAGGAATATGAAAGATTACAGAGACTGAATACATCTGCGTAAGCCATTGATAACGATTTTGAGCCATGTCACCTATTGTTGTCTCCAGCCATTGGTTCTTAGAGTCCCGAGGGCCCCAACCCGGAAGTCTGCATCTCCCTACCTGACTCAGTTTAACTGTCAAGGATTTCATAGATTGATTGATGCCATGTTTTTGTTTGGCCACCACTTACTCTTTTCCAACCTGCACCTATGTCAGCTAGTAATGCCCCTCGGGGGGGGGGGCGATGGCTAGGCATGCGCAGCACGTGACCTAGCCATCTCAATCTATGTGACTTTATAGCCTTGTCGATTGATTTTCCCTCTTTACCCAACACTCTACGCCTAACGTCAACATTACTTACCTTATTATACCACCTAATGTGAGAAAAAGATCGTAGGCATCTATGATCAAAAACAGTCAACCTTTTCATGTCTTCAACCCATATTGGCCATGTTTCAGAGCCATAGAGAAGGAGGGAGCGAACTGCTGAGCAGTACACACGTCCCTTGGTTGATAGCCGAATGTCACACCTACGCCAGAGACGGCGTAAGTTAGCGAAAGCAGCCCGAGCTTTTTGGATCCGTGGTGAGATTTCGACACCAATCAATCAATCCGTTGGTGCTGATATAACTTCCCAAATAGGTGAAGTGGTCGACATGTTCTATCACTTCACTCCCCATCACTAAGCTAGGAGTTGACGTAGTCCAGTCCTGTAGCAGCATCCTTTCCTGGGATACTTAAGAAAGACTTTGTTATACTGCGAAGGGCACTAAAGCCATCATTAGGGCGAGTGAGGTGTTGCTGAACCAACTCGTTAACAATGTTGTAGGTTGACACATGGACTCATGCAAGGAATTAGCACATATAATCCTGTCAGACTCTGGGCGTCCTCTCCATACACAACTCTCTCTCCTTGCATCTCATCAGGTAGAACTAGAAGCAACTATAGAAGACTGTATGTGTAACGGTGGAAGACGAAGACTCTGTAAAGGAATGTTTACTTGCAATTTAATGTCACTATATAGCCAAATTATGTACACCTTATCTTCAACGCACCATTTACATAGATATCTTCCGTGTTGTGCTACTTAGGGCCTTCATATTGTGTTTCTTTGTGTTCCTTTCACCTATCCCATGTATCTCCGCAACGCTGAATCATTTGCTTTCTCTGACACTAAGTCTATCTCCCTGCTGTTTGATATTTTTATGCCGATTAACACCTCTTTATATAGGTTTACCACTGATAAATCTTATCAGTATATGCCACACTCCACATATTCTCTGACGATTAAGTACAAAAACTCTACAATGACCTATTTATGTTATGAGAGAAGTGGAAGGCAGGGAATTATCGATCACTAGCTCTAAGTAAACGGACCCATTTTTAATTTATTACCCCTGTAATGAGAAAATTAGATGTAATGTTGTATTACATGCTGCAAATTCCATATTTGTACCAAAAGTACTGTTTGGAATATAAGCCATTATTATTATTGATCCTGTACATAAACTTAATATCTTTAGGCTGTGAACAACTAATAAGAAATTAATTTCTGCACATATTGTTGTTCTTGCTTTATTAAAATTCAGAGAGGGGAATATATGCATATGAAAATACTTATCTACTGACATCTTTTGCTTTTTCTTTTTTTCAAAATCCGCATGGCGAGAGAAATATCTTCAATCTGCATGCATAGAAAGAAAATCAAAACTTATTGTCCCTGAAATTAGCTCTAATATTAAATTCTCTTACACTCCTTCTATATTTGAATCGGCTTTACATTCATATTAGTTTGTTTATTAGATGTATTACACAGTGAGTGAAACAGTATTATTTACTGGATGACGAGGTTCCGAACAAAATTTATTCCTGTTCATAAGCATTTCATCAATTATAATCACAGAACTTCGAAATTTGGGTTTTATAGTTTCTTTGTTCTCTCCTATTTGTCGTCATTGGGGTAGTAGAATTTTACAGATATTTGCATGGATAGGTGTTGAATCATTCCTATTGCACGTGTTTGCAGTTGATTCGATAAACAAAGATTCCGTTATCGATCTCTCCCTCCACGCTGTTACATTAGATTTTAAAGCTGTTATCTTATCCCACCCATCCTATTGTATGGTTGTGTGTAATTGAATGTCGTGAGTGGTATAGCTGAACTATTCTCTAGATTTCTTATCTTATTCAGGTCAACCAATCTAGATTTTGTTGTTAGGTTTTTATGTTCAGCTAGTCTGACTGCCCCTGTTTTACTAGTTTGACCTATGTATTTGACCTGACAATCATTCCAGCAGGGTATTAGACAAACTAAATTGTTTTGTTTTAAAGGTTCCACAGTATCCTTCCTATAACCGACAAAGTGGGCCAGCCACTTTTATTCCTTCCTGCATTGTTAAGAATTCTCTGCCGTAAGATTTCCGAGGTTCCCTCCTTGTATGGAATTACTACTGTTGATTTAGATTCCTTATCTTTGGTGTTGTTATTATCTTGCGCATGTTTGACATGCATGTCGTAATTAATATTGCTATTATTATTATTATCACTACTATTATTATTAATTTTATTTCTACATTTTCCTACATACTTCCTGATTAATTTATCAGGGTAATTACTAAGTTTCAAAGCCTCTTTTATATGCCTCACTTCCTGTCTTACATTTTCCTTGGTACTACTTAGTTTTACAGCCCTATTACTGAAACATTTCAAAAATCCTATTTTCACTGACATCGGGTGCGAATAATGGAAATCTAAATATCGGTTTAAATGTGTGGGTTTCCTGTAAACACTAGTGTTTAATTTCCCATCTTCTTTCCTCTTTACCCGCTACAATCTAACATTGGAAGCTCCCCTTCTTGACTTTCCAATTAGTAAGTGAACTGAACTGCCTCCACCTTTGAGTTAATGTGTTCGAAAAAATCTATTTGTGTCGTGTGTTCTAAGTACGGTGAAAATGCCATCTGCATACCCCCCAACAACTACAACTTGCAAATACCACTATCATTTGGAGGCATTCGATTTGACATTATTTAATAGCATAAATTATGTGAGGTATTCCCTTGTATCGTCCGAATTAGGTAAAATAAACACAAATCAACCTATTAATAGAATGGGATTCCGTATTTGGTGGTTCTCTGTTCTTTTCCTGAACAGTGTAAAAACTTCACAATGAGAATGAAATATTGTGTTAGCAACCATATTGCAATTTTTGTTTTTCGTCAGCCTAGCCTTACCTAGGTTGCATACTTGTTGGCACTTACCAGTCAGCAAGACGTGTCTGAAACCTTCAAGGAACTTATATCCCCTCTGAGTTGGGCCACTTCAATGTGTGTTTATAAATTCACCTGCTCGTGTGGAGCTAGTTATATTGGCCGCACAAAGCGCACACTTTCCAAACGCATCTCTGAACATTATCCGACATGGTTAGCAAAAGGACAATGCAAGACAATTACTAGTTCAATTCTCGAGCACTTGGTGAACTCAGACCACGCAGCTCCACCAGAGTTGTCTTTCGAGATCATCTACAAGGTGAGGCTAAATGGTACAAAGGGCGTCAGGTTTCGGCATTTGTGTATGGCGGAGGCGCTGGCAATTCGTCAATACAACCCCGAACTCTGTATACAGAAAACGTTTGTCCAGTCTCTTATTCTACCATGGTCTTAACCTCTTCACTAGTCGCTCCCTGTAAAAAATTTTGAATTTTTCTTTTATTTTTTAATTTTACTTTTAGTTTGCTTTCGCTTTAATAATTAATTCACTATTATCACTCTCATATGCTCCGATTGTACATTTTCACACCCTCTTCACACTTGTTAAATTGCCACTCAAATACTACCTTTATTCTCACTCAATAGCAATTTTAACCCTATCAAATTACTTACCTTTTCTTCCTTTGTGCCATTGAGTAACACATAATTTACAACTTTTATTATTTTTTACTTCTAAAACCACTTCTGAGTAATTATATCAATTGTGTGACCCTCTATTACTCAATAATAGACTACTATACATTTTTTGGTAAATATAAACACGACTGTACAGTACAGCCTGTGAAGATGATTTCGTCGATAAAGAGAAAATTTTCTTCGCTGAATTAGTCTTTTATTTTCTTCATGACTCAAATGGGTACTTTCGGTGATTTAAATTTATTAAATTACAAAATTCAATTTGAACAAAGAGAAAAGTGTGAATGATGAATGCTTACTTTATTTTATACAAGCATTTCATTATTGATTTTCTGACGACAACAACAACAAAAACAAAAGTGAGAATAAGCGCAAAAAGTGTTGCAATTCTGAAGGAAGCAGTATGAGACCCAGTGTATCGTTCATGATTAGTAGAGCATGAACAATATGCGGTTAGATTATGATACACCGCTGTTGTTGTTGTTGCTTTTTTTTGGTGTAATATAATAATATGTAGGGTTAAAACAAATCCAGTGTTCAGAAAGTCTCTCCTATATCTCTGCCAGATTCATAATTGGAACTAACTGGCCACACTACCGCTTACTTTAAATGCAGCTGCTTTTAAATTCGAATTTTGCGGTAGCGTTTGTACTCCAAAGCATTCTAGGTGGTAATTTGAATTTCCTGAGACAACACGTCTTGCCTCTTGACAACCTGGATCTGGTACAATCGGTCTACCGCATGATGCACATCTTGGAGCGTATCGTTTATGAAAATCAGTTAAACAGTGCAGCCGACCGTGAACATCAATAGTGAATGGTCGAGAGTCAAGTCGACCAGCACATACAACACAAACAAAACAATTCGGGTGGTAGGGCATTCCAAGAGCATGAACCACTCTGTCTCCGATAGGTCTATGACAATTTGAACACGTTTCCACAGCTCCATCACGCACACAAGCTGGACACAACAATCGTCGAAGATTATGATAGTAAGCGTCTGATTTCAGTGGAGCTGCACACCGATAGCAGGTAAAGCAAGCTACATGAAGTCGAACACCTAGAGCACCAGTCAGAGTTACAACATTGTTTGTTGCAGTCAAATTGCCACTGAGTGTACTACCCTCTGGTGGAAGAAGTGGTCGACGGCATCGAAAGCATATATTTTGTCCTAGTGATGTATTTGTTATTGTTCCAGTAGCACCAGCAGTTTCATTAGAATTGCACATACTTGAAGAGGATTCAGTTGGCGAATTCGTGGATGAGCTGCCTGTAGTTGATGCTGCTGTGACGACGGCAGTTGTTAGTGGGCTGCCTCGACCACCGTTCACATTTCCTCCTGTGACAGGATTCAGACTAGCGTGTTGTTGTAAACGTCCCAATTGGGAATTTATACCACTACCACGTCTTAGGCTTCCAGCTATGGGTTTTAAATAATAAAATACAGACAAAAATTATGACACTTATTATAAAAAATCGACCTCTCATGGTTTCTACAGTCTATATGATTACAAATTAAACAAAACTAAGTCGATTTAATTGAATTTTAGATTTTCTCGGTTTCAGGTTGACAAGTCGGCTTCTTGTACAGATGCTTCGACGATGTCTGGGCATTTAATTAGAATTTAATTGGTGGATGGTGACTAGCAGGGGAATCCAGGATGCACATTTCGTCCTATTTGGGACTCGTCAGCCCAAGTGGTCTGGTGGATAACGCTTTGACGTTTGAAACTATGGCCACTGGGTTCGAGCCTCGGTGAGAACATCATCACTCACTTGGGAATCCAGATGACGAGTCCCAAATAGGACGAAATGCGCATCCTGGATTCCACTGCTAGTCACCATCCACCAATTAAAAACTAAGTCAACATTATAAGTTATAATAATTAATCATACCGTAATCACTTAAGCCAACAATCCAATGACTGATATTTTCATAGAGATTCACGGGTATTGTGCAATCAGTATTTAACTTCCTGTCCTCAGAACTCCTACCGAAAAGACTGGATATTAGTTTTAATCTGTCTTGAATAAAGAAAAGTTTGAAATTCGAGAGGATTAAGAGGTAACGCATCCGATGTACAACCAGATGATGATTGTCTTTGTTAGTTTTAGTTCGTCATGAATTCAACGTTGAAATCGACTGGATATTTAGTGAACACCACTCGTATCAGATGTGAAATGCATAGTTGGATGAAATACTTCCACAGGTATTCAGTGTTATTCATTTTATTAGTTATTTTACGTAAGGGTTAGTCGTGATCCAAAGATAAAAATAATAAAAGCAACATTCTGTTTAACTTTAACGTTTGAGACCAGTATTTATTCATTCATTCATTATTACTATTCTCCTGGCTTCCGAGTGAAGCATAGGGCTTCAACAGCACGTCTCCACTTTGTCCTATTCTTTGCGTTCCTCTTTATCTGGCTACATGATTGCCAATAATCCCTCATCTCCTCCACATCACCGTCACATCGACGATCCACTTTTCTCTCCCCATTCGAGTGATGGCTCGGCTGACGTGCGATGTCATTCGAAGGTCTCCTCAGTGTGCGTTCGGTCCATCCCCACTTTCTTCAGTATGTTTTTTGAGCAATATATGGTTGGTTGGTTCGTTCCCAGAGTTTCTTGTTATTGATTCTTCCTGGCAGGTCATTTGATCTTCATTATCGCGACAGTGAAGTCAACTGTTGGTGAAATCCTGTAGTAGTCTGTCGGTAATGCTCTTCGTGACGCCAACGCCAAGTTTCCGACCTTTTTTATATTCCTTCACGTTCCCAGTGGAACATAGGGCAACTTCAAGCTAGAGGCTTCAAGTTTCTGTAGCAGTAGTGTTTATTTTTACAGGATGGGGTTGCTAGCCTCATGCCCAACGTTTCCTCTTTACCAGTCTTGCTACTGGCTTAGCGAGGCAAAGGAGTGCGCCGGGGATCGGACCCCGGATCATGTGCATCGTCGGCGAGCGTCGTAGCCGCTGTGCCACTAACGCACAGTTTCCAGCCTATACAAAAGAAATGACTAACTTAAAATTAAAAATTAACGTAACACTTATGAATGAACTTTGTTCCGGGTAATACTTATTGCAAAACTAACCTGGAGATGAATTTGCTCCATCTGTACCAGAAGGTAGTGTTCCACTGGTGCCTATTGCAGATCCAGATGATCGAGTCTCCATACTTTGCATAAGAAGATTTGTAAGCGCATCTACTTCAGCTTCGGGATCAGAAAGAGGCGGCGCTGGTCGACCTATTGACCGATTGCCGGTGGTAAGTACAGATGAAGATCTGAATGTAGGAGATCTAGCACTTTCACCATTGTCAGTCTGAGGTGGGTTTGTTGTATTGTCTCCACTTTCTGATGAATGGCTAGTTAAATTCGACGAAATTGAAGCACTATGTCCTCTTGATGCACCCAAATGTACAACTGGTATGACTATGGCTTGACCACTTGCACTTGATGTATTTATCTGAGATGATCTTCCAAGCGATCCAGGTTTATACCAGTAAACATTATCACGTTCTGAAGTACTCCTCATTGGATATAACTGTGATGCCTGGAAGAAGTGAAATCATGGATAAACTAAGAGATTGCCTAGATGGTGTAGCGATTGTAACGGAGTAGATTGTTTAATACATCCTAACCAAGATGATATTTCGCTTTATTGTGACCGATAGATAACCATGGATCCATTAGTTGTGTTCTTAGAATTGGCAGAAAAACACTTCAGGAAATTTTGAACTATGCAATCTTGTCTCATTGAATTAAAAACAACAGACTGCTATTGTTTCCACCATATTCAAGTGAAGATGAAGCTTATTTACTTAAGCAGTGGGTCTTCAACCGATGGGTTACGGGTTCAAGTTTCACTCCACCTACTTCAGCATGGGCAGCTGGGTAGTATCGTCAATCTTCCCACTGGTAAGTGTGTCACTTCACCAAAGATGTGTTCCAGTTAACTGAGCTTAAACAAGTAAGGAAGTGAAGTTATCAATGGCGATAACCATAACTGCTTTTATCTTAAGTGAATTAAACTTTTTTGTTCAATAAACCTAAGTGATAGTTGCAGTGTGATCACTATCCACCAATTTCATAGGGAAATAAAATATCTTTTAATTCGAAATAAGTAATCAGTGTAATGTGTCTGGTCCTTTGTTTGGTGTAGACTAAATTCCATCAGTCAAGTTTTCAATGTAGCCAATATTCCAGGTGACTCGCCATCACTGAATTCTTGTTATTGAATTGTTGGAGGCAATATCCGCTAAGCCCAACCTGACATAGGTTTACGTACTTGATGGCAATCACCAGTCAACAAGGCATATATGCAACTATGTTGAGGGAACTCATGTCCCCTCTGAGATTCAAACCCTTGCCAACCACACCTACAGTCACAGGTGTTCCCACTGAGCTGTTCACACTCCGAACTGACCCCCTGTAGGACTCACTTCTTTAAGTGCTCTTACTGAACACTAGGTAGGAAGTACCTAATGTCATGCATCTAGTCGTTGGCGTTGGTGCAGACTGAATTCCATCATCAATCAAGTTTTCCCGAATAGGTCAGTGGTAACGTCTATGAGTGCAGCAGTGCGTGACATGGGTTCGAATCTCACAGGGGACATGAGTTCTATATTAGTTTGTTCATTAGATGTATCACACAGTGAAACAGTATTATTTACTGGATGACGAACATAGTCTATTGTTCATAATCATATCAATTATAATCATACGACTTCGAAAATTGAGTTTTATAGTTTTCTTTCTTCTCTTTGAATTTGAAGTATGCGCTGAAGATGTTGCCTAGTAGGGTGATGAAAGCTTCGCAAATTAACTATCGAGCTCAGAGAACACAACCACATCAAAATCATCCACCTGAGCTACAAATCTTCTCAATCAAATCCATATATATATATATAGTGCGTCTGTGGCACAGTGGTTAGGACGCTCGTCGACCATGTACATGGTCCGGGGTTCGATCACCAGCCACCGAATCACTCCTTTACCTCGCTAAGCCAGAAATGAAACCCGGTAAAGAGGAAACTTCAAGCCTCTAGCTTGAAGTTGCCCTATGTTCCACTGGGAACGTGAAGGAATTATATATAAATGTACATTCAACAGTAGTATATTCCAAACCTACATAAGAACCTTGACAGTCATTCGACATGTAAAGCTGTCTTCAGTGAAAAAGACGATATAAAATGGTAGCCGCGTAGAGAGAATCAAACACCTTTAGGATGAACAGTTTTATCCAAACACCTCAAATGGTATTTCATTTCGTTCATATATATATATATATATATATGAACGAAATGAAATACCATTTGAGGTGTTTGGATAAAACTGTTCATCCTAAAGGTGTTTGATTCTCTCTACGCGGCTACCATTTTATATCGTCTTTTTCACTGAAGACAGCTTTACATGTCGAATGACTGTCAAGGTTCTTATGTAGGTTTGGAATATACTACTGTTGAATGTACATTTATACTGATATCTGAGGAAGACATTTCAGGCAGCCTCCTTACGTATCCCATTCTCCCGCAGACAGTTAATTCAGCCAAGAGTTAAGGATAAGATAGCGCTTTTGGCCACCTCAGTGTATATTTATCAGTTTACTTGTTCACATGGAGCAAAGTATATCCACGGCGTACAACGTCAAGTCCCAAAACGTATTCGAGACACTGTCCAACCTGGTTAGCCAAAGGAGAAACGAAGAATACCAGTAACTCTATCTTTGAACACTGTCGACTCTGGACATCGGGCAACCCCACTGTGACCAATTCACAGTACTACACAGAGTTCTTCAATATCGCACGAAAGAACTTTGAATGCGCCATCAAAACATAATTGAATCATTCACTCGCCTTACGGTGACTAGAGTAATGTTCTTACCATAATTTTGCTTCGTTTTATTTTGTAAATTTACAATCATCATTACTACCTTTGCGTGAACTTATGAATTCTTCGTTAAATGTAAGTACGATTGCACAGCTTTTGATAGTGACTCGTCGAAAAGAACATTTCCTTTGCTGTTTACGTCTTTTCTTTTTGTGTGTGTTTGCATGTGTGTGTGACCGTTACACTAGTAGAAAACGTTTTTGACGGGAAATCATAACTCATTAAGCAAAACTTATTTCAGTCATTTAATTCACCAAAACGCCACATAAACAAAAAATTATTAACCGCTAAGCTATCCTACTGAGAGTAAAGGATTCAGCTAATAACTTCTACTGAAACTTAACGAATTCATCGAGCCATGACCGGTAGGGCACAGCAGGTCCAAGGTGAGGACAGTTACGCATCGAAAAAGACATTGCAAAGTGGTCGCGCTATGTCGTGAACTGGCAGAAGTTAGAATTCACTGGCTGGTCATTGGATTGTGTCCCAGTGGTTGCTTAATGGTCCACGAGCTCGCCTTGTAACCAGAAGGCCCTGGGTCCGAACCCCGCAGTGTGGGTGCGTACTGGTGAAGAGTCCCGAGCACTATGACGAAACAGCTGTCCAGTACTCCAGCGATGGTTTTCAATGGTTCTCTAACTGATGTCAGCTCATGATGAAACCCTCCAACCAATTAAACTAAGTCCCTACAAACCAATACTTGAAAATGCTTATCTATTGACATATGGTGCTTGCTTTAAATTCACTATTTGAGACAGAAATGTCTTCAATCTGCACGCATAGAAAGGAAATCAAGACACATTGTCCCTAAAATTGGCTCTGAAATTAATTCTCATACACTCCTTCCAAATTTTTTTATTCATTTCTGCATAGATGAAGATTGATTTGTCCAATTGAACAGCCTGTGACAGTTCTGTTTTCCAGGTTAAATAAATGTCAGTGTCACTTGTGAAGAATATTTCAGTTTTGTAAAATTTAAAATTCATGGGCTATTGTTAGCCTGACACATTGGTTGAATGGTAATGTGCTTAATCCTGTAACTTGAATGGCCTTTTCAATCGTTGCTTGTCTCTTTGTCGTCCACTTGTTGATGAGTCTAAGGCTACCATGAAACACCCTTGTCTAACGTTCTGTTAATCCATGTACACTGTTTCAGGTTTCATTGAAACCATATTTTGTAAGCTAAATGAAAGAAGCCGACAGGACGCAATAGCCGTGTTCTAAGAAATACTCTGTGAGCGGAAATTAGTGTAATTCCCCACTATCTAATAACTTTTCTCATCCTTTTATGTGTATACGTGGGCTGTGGGGATTATCCCACCCACCCACGCATTCTTTATTTTTCGCTTTAAACTGGTCATTTTGGAACTATATATTAACCCCCCCCCCCACACACACACACCTGCAAACTTGTTATAATTACTGCTTGGGGATGTTTGGTGTCCGACATAACCTTTACAATTGATTTTGTTTTTCCTTCACCTTCCCGGTGGAACATAGGGCAACTTCAAGCTAGAGGTTTGAAGTTTCTGTAGCAGTGTTTATTTTTACAGGATGGGGTTGCTAGCCTTATACCCAACCTTTCCTCTTTACCAGCTCTATTACTGGCTTAGCGAGGTAAAGGAGTGAGTCGGTGGCCGGGGATCGAACCCCGGACCATGTGCATGGTCGGTGGGCGTTCTAACCGCTGTGCCACCGACGCATGAAAAGTCCGGCTCAGCTGGGAGTCGAACCTGGGACCACTCGCACCCGAAGCGAGTATCGTACCCGTAGACTAGCAATTATCTACAGCAGTTTATATTTGTCAGCCTGATGCTTGGATGTTATTTATTCGAGACCAACTGGAAACAAGACCAAAATTATTCGGAAATTAAGTTATTCAAAACAGCAGTATGCAGATACTATTGGCATAACAATCAATATTCAGTGAAGGGTGCTGCTAATAATACTTTGGGAATTTAATCGAAGTTAGTTTAACCAAACCTAGACTAGTCTATAGCCAAAAATATGGCATGCTGCTATTAAGTTAGGTGATTAGGTTAACCTGTTGTGGTTATAACTCAGTAGTGGTGTTTTCCTTCGTAGGATACATTGATTGCACCTTCACATTCTGTGTGTAACTATTCGAGTCCTGAAGGTTGCATATTTGCTTTATTGACGAGTACAGCCAATACAATATACTTCCGACTGACTGGTGCAAGCAGCTGGATACTGCTCACACTAACCACAACTAAGTGATTTAAACAAGGGACGGCCGTTTCGCCCGTCTGGGGACGAGGTCATCCACGCTGTAACCTGTAGAACTCAGCTCAAAAAGGTAAATGGGTTTATACCACTCGAACTACATCCACTTGCAAATCACGTAAATAGAGTAACACTAGTATCACATGCGTCTAGTCCTTTGTGTTGATGGCGACTGAATTCTGTCAGTCAAGTTTGTAATGTAGCCATCATTCTAGGTGATTCGCCATCATCGTGCATATGAGTGAAGCTTTGAAACTTAATAATCACCCTGATAAATTAATCAGGAAGTATGTAGGAAAATATAAAAATAAAATAAATAATGCTAGTAGTGATAGTGATAATAGAAGTAATAGTGATAATAATAACAGTAATATTAATTACAACATGCATGTCAAACATGCACAAGATAATGACAACACCAAAGATAAGGAACCTAAATCATCAGTAGTAATTCCATGCAAGGAAGGAGCCTTGAAAACCTTACGCAGAATGCTTAACAAGGCGGGAAACAAACTTTGGCTGTTAAATTATCTTGTGAAGCTAATTAAACAAAACAATTCAGTTGATCTAATACCCTGCCGTAATGATTATCAGAACAAATACATAGGTTGAAGCAGTAGAACAGGTTAGTCAGTCTGTCATACTAGCGGAGCACAAAAACCAAGCAGCAAAATCCAGATTACTTGACCCGAATAAGATAAGAAATCTAGAGAAAAGTTCAGCCATAGTACTCAATACAGGCAGTAACACACAAACATACAATAGGATGGATGGGATAAGATGACAGTTTTCAAATCTAATGTCACAGAGTAGCGAGTGGGGAAGATTGATAACAGAAGCTTTGTTTATCGAATCAACTGAGAGAGAATACGTGTAATAGGAATGAAGGAAGGAACACCTGTCCCAGATATCTGGAAAATTCGACAACCCCACTGACGATGAATAAAAGAGAACAAAGAAAACTATAAAACTCAAGTTTCGAAGCCGTGTGATTATAATTGGTGATATGATTATGAACAATAGACTGTGTTCGAAACCTCTTCAACCAGTAAATAATACTGTCTCACTGACTGTGTGATACATCTAATGAACAAACTAATATAGAACTCATGTCCCCTGTGAGATTCGAACACGTGTCACCAAGAGCTACAGTCAGAGGTCTTCCCACTGACCCATTCGGGAAAACTTGATCGATGATGGAATTCAGTCTGCACCAACGCCAACGACTATATGCATGACACTGGGTGCTTCCTACCTAGTGTTCAAAGTATTTTTAATGAAGTCAGTTCTACAGGAGGTCATTTCGGAGTGTGAACAGCTCAGTGGGAACACCTGTGACTGTAGGTTTGAATGACACAGGTTTAAATCTAAGAGGGAAAATGAAATCCCTCAACATAGTTGCATATATGTCTTGTTGACTGGTGATTGCCAATAAGCACGTAAACCTATATCAGGTTGGGCTTGGTGGCGATTGACTCCAAGAATCTCATAGTACGAATTCATTGTGTACGGTGATGGCGAGTCACCTGGAATGTTGGCTTCATTGCAAACCTGGCTGATACTATATATATGGAATTTTCGCATGTGATATCGGTAGCCCAAATTTAACAGGCCGACCATTGACATCAGGTGTGCGTTGACCGGGGTTCGTACCCCTAACCACATGCATGGTCGGTGAGCTTCCTAATCGCTGTGCCACCGAAACACATTTATATATATCACAATTTAAGATCACATTATAATATGAAATAGCCAGCATGAATAACGTTTTTTATAAAGAATGGATACTGAACAAAGAATACTCTTTTCGATAACTTCATCATCAGGCTCTACAGCTGTATATATATATATATATATATATATATATATATATTATAATGAATGAATGAATTAGTGTTATGAACAACATTAATGTTGCTGTTTAAATAACATCGAATCAATAATATTGATAGATTACAGCTGAAAAGAATCAACTTAAAATAAGCTGAATGTCAGAAACATTCATGAATTTGTACTATTATCTTTCATAATTCTTCTGACATTCAGCTTATTTTAAGTTGATTCTTTTCAGCTGTAATCTATCAATATTATTGATTCGATGTTATTTAAACAGCAACATTAATGTTGTTCATAACACTAATTCATTCCTTTCACTATAATGTATATATATAAATGTAGAGCCTGATGAAGAGCAGCTTATCGAAAAGAGTACTCTTTGTTCATTATTCATTCTTTTGAAAATTTTAATGGACATTTTTAATCAGTTAAAATGTTATTTATCCCTAAAACGTAACTTATTCACAATCTCCTTGGCTTAGTTGAATTGATGAAACAATATATTCATCTTAGTATTTGAGGAAAATGAGGTTAATATCAGTTTCGAAAACCAGGAAAACCTTTAATTTGTGTTGGCGCTTAAATGAATCTAACCATCTAATTTACAGTGACTCTACATTCACTTACAAGACAAAAAAAATAATATTAATCAGTCTTACTTGTGCATAGTGTGGAGCATCTGTGGATGAAATTGGCACAACCGGGTGACGATATCGTCTTTCACCTTGTGTTCCTGGCATCCTCGGTCCTGCTCTTTCATTGAAGACACTATCCAATCTATAGAGGTTATTTCCAGAACCAAAAGCATGATGAGACATCGGAAATGTGATAATGATAATGATAAAAATGGTGAAACAACACAATTTTTGCACACCACATATACTATGTATGTATCAGTAAACGAGTTTTTGATTGGAGAGACAATAATATTTCACTCTGGTCGATAAAAAGTAACTGAACAATCACGGCATTGTGATTGGCTAATATAGACGGTACATTTTAATGACCTTGGTTTATAGATTGGTATGTTTTGGTATATATACACATATGCACAATGTAACACGCAAACAGACAATATTTAATTGCCAAGCACGTATAGTTAGAAGAAGAACATCGACAAATCTTTTCTAATTTTATTACGAGTAAATAGCTAAACTACACATTCTTATGCAGTAGTTTGCAATTAAAATACAAATATGGCCTTATGGTTACGGTATAGGGGGAAAGTACTTCGTTGTTGCAAGTTCAGTTAACTACTATCAATTCACTCAGTATTACTTCTACTAAGCGAATTTTCGTTAATAAGCCCAGAAATAATAATAATAGCTTTATTCCAAACAGTATTTGTGGTACAGGTATGGAATTTTCAGCGTGCATTACAATATTGCATCTAATTACCTCATAAATTTTTATAAGATTTTAAAAAACAAAAGCAACAACAACAAAAAGAAAAAAAGAGAAATAAAAGAAATAAACAAGAACAGCATGAAAGATAATATGAAAGATAATTACCTCATAAATTTTTATAAGATTTTAAAAATCAAAAGCAACAACAACAAAAAGAAAAAAAGAAAAATAAAAGAAATAAACAAGAACAGCATGAAAGATAATATGAAAGATAATTACCTCATAAATTTTTATAAGATTTTAAAAATCAAAAGCAACAACAACAAAAAGAAAAAAAGAGAAATAAAAGAAATAAACAAGAACAGCATGAAAGATAATATGAAAGATAATATTACAAATTCATGAGTTTATAGTCTCTACTGAGGGCCAGGGCAAACAACAAGTCCAGCCCCTACAACTGCCCTGGCCCTCAGTAGAAACCATAAACTCATGAATTTGCACTATAATCTCTTCTAATTCTTCTGACACTCAGTTTATTTCACGTTGATGCTGTTCAGCTGTAATTTATCAATATTATTGATTTGATGTTATTTAAACACTAATGTCGTTCATAAGACTAATTCATTCATTCACCATAATGTATATATAATTGTAGAACCTGATGATGAATTTATCGAAAAGAGACGGTATTCTTTGTTCCGTGTCCATTCTTTTGAAAATCGATTCGTTAAAAACGCGGGATACGTACGTGTGATAAAATTTTGCATTATCTGTGAATTTCATCAATTGAAAGCTTAAGCGTTATCTCATATTTTAAGCACGTTTACCACCTCGTAGTCTTCGAATGAGATAACATATTCTCCACCCTGAACCTGGATGGTATATTAGTGCTTTAGAATTGTCTTTTGTAGTTTGAGCTGTTACTTTCTTGTCCGCGAAAGTATTAATAAAGTTGTTACTGTATCAGCTTCGACCACAATTAGAGGACTTAAATAGTATAGATGAGTTTGACTGCAAACATACGAGGAGTAGGTAGGATGCTATCACCGTTTTACAATTAGGCGTGTTTCTCGTCGGATTTCCGAACACCACCCTGCATAGTGGTTAAGCAAGAGACAAATAAAATCCATTCATAGCTCTATTCTATCTCATCTCGTGGATACAGAACACAAGATTGATGTTAAAGACGCTTTCAAAGTAATTTACCGCATACCAGCTGGTCTTAACTTCACCTTAAGAGTTCGTCTACTACATACAGATTTCTGAGGCTGACCGTTGGAATCCACATTAAGAAACCCAACTTATGTATCGAAAAGAAGAAGTTGGTTCAGACACTGTCCTTACCATGGCCGTCAATCAAGACTTTAATGATCCTTAATTTGTCAGGGTGATTTCCTTAATTTTATTTGATATTCTATTTGCTATTATATCTTTATTATTATTATTTAAGCATCTTTAATGAACTGTAATTCCATTGTGATCTTGCTTTACAAATCGATATTATTTAAAAGACCAATATTGGTATTGACTACTATTCTAGAATATTCTATGTCACAAAATATACAAATCTGATCATAGGGAATAATAAAAAGACAGTTGCAGCGAAGCAAAAATTTTTTTCGACGAAGTCATCAGCTAGGCTGTACATTCGTGTATTTATAATAAATGGGTGGGAAAGTTCCAGAATAATTTCCGGTTAAGGGTCAAATTAATAAAATTACAATTAGGAATTAAAAAGGAGAACGAAAACGTGTATATAGTTCAGTGACAGAACATCTGGTCAATTCAGGACATTCAGCGCCATTAAAAAATCCTTTAAAAGGAGTAAAATCAAGACATCTGGGCATAGCCGAGGCACTAGCCATCCGAAAGCTCAAACCTACGCTATGTATCCAAAAGAAATACGTTCAGCCCTTGTCCCTGCCATGGCTATCACAAACTAGTAGTTCTTCTAATAGTGACCATCTCACTACCTTTCTTATCCAAACTTCCTGTTTATTCATGTTATTTTTAAGTTTTTCTTAATTCCTATTTACACTACCATATTTTCATATCTGAAATTCCTGTCTATTTTGTCATTTTATTATTTCTACATATTTAATCCCTGATTGCATAAACAATTATTCGTCACATTAGTTATGATCCCACTAGATTTTTTATCCAACCATCTTGTTTATTGTTGTTATTTCTACATTTATAACCCTTAATTGCACAATATGTAAATCTTCCCAATAATTATGATGCTACTTTGTTTGAGTTTCTATTCCGTCCCCCTGTTTATTATGGCATTTTAATTCCTAATTGTAATCTTATTAATTTGACCCTTAACCGGAAATTATCCTGGAACTTTCCCACCCATTTATCATAAAAACACAAATGTACAGCCTAGTTAATGGCTTCGTCGAGAAAAAAGAAAATTTTCTTCGCTGCAACTGTCTTTTTAATATTCTATGTATATAAGCAAATATATACTTGTAGAGCCAGAAGAGGAAATTATCTTTGCCCACTTTTCTGATTTTTCTAGATATCTGAATGAATATTTTCGCTATATAGTAAAATGCTTTCAACTTCATATACCCACTGACATTATACATTTGGCTCTGATGCCTCTTGTTGAACAGTTCTGTATTACAAACTACTGTTGTCTTTATTTATCTGAGAAACACTACATTACAAACAGGAAAGTTCCTTATATTCCAGTACTGAGTGAAACTGTTATACCTCACGGTGAGCTAAATTTACTTCTTCTTTTTGTGCATGACATAACCCTCTTTTAATTAGAAAGCTGTTTTTCAACCTTCTTATTTTGCATTTTGTTTCTCAAAGTTCAATTAGTAATAATGCTCAGAGTCAGCTACCTCATAGAAATCTACAGACAACAATTGTGAGGATACTTTTTGAGTATTTTGACCTTAAGCGGAAGTGAAGCAATACAGTCCTATCAATCTTATGTACCAAAAATGCACAATAAATTCATTCCATGGATACTAGGATACTCTAAGAAGCAGATAGCCATTCCTGAAACACAGCTTCTTTAGGTGTGCTCGGAGAATGCCGAAAATGGCAAAGCTGTAAACCAATGATGAATTCAGATGGTTTGCACAAACTTAAAAGTGAGGTAGATGGTTGTATGCCTTCATTCTGCTGGGTAGTTTTCGTAAAAGACTGGCAGATATTGACATACTTTTCAGGAACACTCTAATATATATTTCTTCAAAGGTAGTTCTTTGAAGAAGAGTGAATGTGCCTTCACTGTCAAGGAATACGACAGTTATTAGACTGTCATGAAAGTTGAAGAATGTGTAGCGTACTACAGAAGCATTCAGTCTGGTGATGACGCAATCGGCTCCTCGTGAACTGGTTCAACACGCATTTCTCAAAGCATAATAAGAGACTAGTCGATGACGCACTTGATTACTCACTGATGTCTCCGAAACAGCAACGTACGCTGGGGTAAAGGGATTTCACAGAATTACAAGGCGACAGAACGATTTAAGAATGCTGGCAGAGTTTCATACAGTCTAGTGAGCAATCCGATTAATTTTATAAGGTTCTGGAATGAAGTTTTCTACCTCTGTAACATTTGAAGTTTCTTCGCATATTTACTTCGATAGGTGGTTCTATACCAAATAGCTTCAGACTATTTAGATAGGCTGGGAACCGAAAAGGCAGCAGATTAACTTCATTTTCTTAGCACTTTTGACCGGAAAATCTCCTGTTCCATAGACCATCTCAATGACATCCGGCTTCTAGATGGCGTTAGGCTCATTCGAATACTAGAGGCTTTCAGCTTCGACACATACACTCGTTGTACCTGTTTCAACCTCACATTGTGAATGTCACATTTCCCTGATTTCCTGTGAATCTTTTGTAATTCCTTATTTATTTTGCGTAGTAACTGACAAACAAACTGAGGACTTGAACATAGCAGTATAACAACAAAGTGATGAGGATAAAAACACAGAGATCCATTTTATTTCATTGGCATCTTGTTATCTAATTCCTACAATCTAAGTGCTTTGAAAAAAGAAAATGTCAAGTAATAGATACAGAAACCTCGACTAGTTAACTAGCTTGCTAGTTTTCTAGCCGGTCCTAAGCTCGGGTAAAGAGGGGGGTTGGGCTTGGGGCTAGCGACCCTACACTACTAAACTTATCGAACAGCAAGAGAAATTTCAACGCACAGAAAATATATCAAAAATACAAAAAATGTGAAAAACACACTTATTCTTCGCTGTAATCGGAGAGGCGAAATATCAAAGCAGTCACCCAGCCGATGTTCTCTCTACAAAAGCAAGAATAAGAATGGGGACGTGGAGTGTCCGTACAATGTACGAGGCTGGCTGGGAAGACTTAAGGTTTTTCAGGGCTTCTATTTCTGGTTTTGTCAGGTTAGGCTTTCCACATTTTTGTCGTTTTACTGGGCTGGCTGACTGCCCAGACAGCCAAAGAAATGAGAAGATATGGTATAGAAGTTCTGGCAGTCTGTGAGAGCAGATGGAACGGATGTGGATTATCAAATTGTCAACTGGAGAGTCAGTAACATCCCAAATAACGACATCAAAACCTTCATGAATGTTAAAAATGCCAGGTGAGCTGGGAGTAGAC